GTAAGTGTTGCGTGACGTCACCGGGAGATGTGAAGGTTGATGTGTGTCGAGAGAGAACAATGGCTCCCTGCGGCCGAAGGAGTTTAGCCGCTTACGTCACGGCGTATCTGATCCCGGGACGGTGTCGATAAGGACGGATCGCAAGACCAGATTTCTCTGTTCCATATTAACTCCTTTAGTAGCGTCGTATCACGGGAACGATGGTATGTGGCAAAGCATAGTCCCGTTTCAATTTCTCTTTGGCGAAAATCATTCAAGGATCGGTATCTACTGTGCGATTGAAGTCACTCGTAAGTAAATTGGAACAGGTTCTTTTCATGTGATTTTATTGCTATTTTGTGCTATAGTAGACAGCAGGCGTACGATTGGGTTTAATAAACATCGTGAGAGAGCGCAGGAGCTGCTTGTGGCGGAAGAATTGCAAATAGCCATGTGTGTGCGAGTGAGAGAGAGAGATAGAGAGAGAGAGCGAGAGCGAGAGCGAGAGAGAGAACATATGTGAGTGTGAGTGTGAGTGTGTGTATGTTGTAGGGGAACGGGGATGCTGGCCGGATGAGTGGCACTTGAATGGTCGTTGCCTGACACTCTTGACCGATCACCAGGCTGCCCAACTCACGCCCACACTCGCGCCCACGTCTCTATACCCACCATCTCAGCCTACGCCCACAGAGCCCACGCTTCACGCCCTCATGCTCTTGATGCATTCGAGACCTCTTCCGTGGTTCTGATCCGTCCATCTACTTCTGTCTTTTCCGGTTCCTCCTCCTCCCCCCCTCCCCCTTCTCACCTGTACGTTCACCTGCCCCTCTTTACCCCTTGATTGTCCACCACCAGCCCCTTTCAGCCCTCCACTGCTTGACCTTTCTTTTGTATCTTCTTGACTCGTGACCTGTGTCTTCCCCGAAACGACTCCTAGGCTATAAACCAAACGTCGCATATTTTTTTTCTAAGGTCTTTTTCCCCTGAGATTTGCTAGCGGCTGAATTTTGTTTATATATCGTTTTGTCTTGTGGCTGTTTTGTTATTTGTGTATTGGTATTGGGGTGCCTTATGTGTATTTTTATTTATTTTTTTTACTGTCCTCTCATTTATCTTCACGTGTTCGAGTCTTGTTAGTCCTTTCTCCCCATTCCCTCTTTGCCTTATATTACTCCAGCCTTATCCCTTCTCTTCCTCTGTCATTTATCCGGACTCTTACTTTACCCTTTCCTCCCATCTTTCCATATATCCCTTTACCTCCCCCCCTTCCCTATTCCGTCTTCCCGCTCCGTCTGCCCCACCAACCTCCCTCCTCTCCATCTGCCCCTCTATCCCTCTATCCCTCTATCCATCTATCCCTGCCCCTTTAGCCTCCCCTCTCCGCCTTCCCCTCTACCCCTTCACCCCCCTTACACAAGGTCACCACCTACTGGATAACGACGCCTGGACCCCTCGTAAAGGAGACCTGATCGCAGATTAGCCGATAAGATCACTAAACATTATTTAGGGAACACAATGCTGCAGTCTGCGAGTGCGGGTAAAGCAAGGATGGGTTTACTGTACCTCCTTCCCCCTCCCCCCTCTCTCCCTCTCTCTCTCCCTCCCTCCCTCCCTCCCCCCCCTCCCCCCATTCTCTTTTCTTTCTTTCATTCTCTCTTTCTCGTAATGTTTTTTTTTCTCTCTCTCCGTGGCTGGGTGGCAACCAAGCGCTTTGTCGCCATGGGGTTAGAGATGATTTTTAGGGATATCGCTTTTGTACATGTAACGCGGTGTGTTTGGGAGATCCGCGTGCCCACAAACATTCACCTGGGAACACGCACACATGCACGCATATTCACATACCGTTACAGACTGTTTGCTGTTGTTATTTGTGTACACTCTTCATCTCTTTAGTTCTCTTTCCTTCTCTCCCTCCATCCTTCCTTCCCCCCTTCCTTTCCCCTTTCACTCCCACAATTTCTCTTTATTATCTAAATCTTAGTTCCATTATGACCAATGTTTGCCCACCCTGTCTCTCTCTCTCTCTCTCTCTCTCTCTCTCTCTCTCTCTCTCTCTCTCTCTCTCTCTCTCTCTCTCTCTCTCTCTCTCTCTCTCTCTGTCTCTCTCTCTCTCTCTCACTTAACGGGAATCGGAAGAACGATGGCCTCAGATTTCGATGTATAATGTGAAAGGTTGACATTGATTTAGCATCGTCTCGGTATCTGTAACTGGCCTGCTGAGCGTGCTTCGAGCGACCGCCATTGTTTGTAAATATAGCGAGGGATGGGGGGATGGGGGGAGATGGTGGGGGGGGGGTGCAGGCAGAGTGGTGGTGCGTCCCGAAAGCGGAGTGAGGACCGTGGCTAGTGAGGTGGTGAGGGAGTGAGTGACGGGCCGAGTTGGGGCTGTGAGGCATCGTGTGGTGGGGTCGCGGCGGAGAAAGAGGAGGAGGAGGAGGATGGGGGGGGGGGGTGGAAGAGGAGAGGAAGGAGGGGGGATTGGTAGGAAGAGGAAGAGGATGCGGGGAAGAGAAGGAAGGAG